TACACTGTCCCCGTGAGAGGTGTCCTGCCCCAGTGAGAGGTGCACTCTCCCAGTGAGAGAGGCGTGTACTGTCCCAGTCCCAGTGAGAGAGGTGTGTACTGTCCCAGTCCCAGTGAGAGAGATACAGTACACTGTCCCACCCAGTCAGAGTTTTTGCATGATCTTACGTTTCTGTGGGAAGGAGCTGAGTCCATGAGCAGCAGGCAGCAGGAAGCTCAGCAGGAGGAAACTCAGGGACCTGAGGAACATCTGAGAGACACAGGGCAGACAGGATGGCTATTAGCACAGTGTGCTTCACGTGTCTTTAATTTTACTGCATTATAAACTCAGAACAGAAAGCACTTCTTTAGATCGAGATTGTGGGAGTGTGGAACAAGCTACACAACCACATTATCCCAGACTGTACTCTGGCTTATATGATCCAAGAAAAACCATTCTGCCCATTCAGCTTGTTCATTTATTTTAAGTAGCTAATTGATCCAAATCTCTCATCTGTCACGACCACCAGGCAGCCAAGACCAACTCGTAAGCGAGCTAATCAGCCCCAGCAGCGGGTGATTATTAACAAACGCCGCCGCACGAGTCAAAACCACCTGTTCACATTCGACCGTGCGGTGCGCAGTGCTACTTATACCATCTTCACCTGCTTCCCGCTGCTCGGTATTGAGTCTACTCCTTGAGAGCTCTACCTGGCGGTTTTTCCCGTACCTCGTTTTTCTGGTTAGTGGACTCCCCTTCTGCCTTTTCGACTTTGCGCCTCGGACTGTTTGCTACCGGAGGTCTCATTGGATTACAATTTGCCTTTCGCCTTTTGACCACGACCTTGCCTCTCGTTTTTTGGATTGTTCGCCTGCCTCATCTGTTACCCACGCCTGCGTCTGCACAGGATCCTTGTATCTTCCCACCAGGGATTCCTAATATCATCCAGCTGTTTCTTGAAAGATGACAGGGTATCAGATCAAGCAACATGGCTGGGCAGCTTGTTCCAGACCCCCACAAACCTTTGTGCCTTACGTTATTTTCAAAGTTTCTTTCAGGAAACTGGATGAGAAGCCAAGATCAATTAGCTAATAGTGATGACACTGACTGTAGGTAGGTTGGATAAATGAAACATGACAGGGGGGCTATTGTTCCAAAATGTCATGACTGTATTATAAAAACAGTCTGGGAGCAACACTAATGCAAAACAAACAGAGTACACATCATACTCACGTCTGCTGGGAGAGCAGGCTGGTGAGACA